CTCCGCGCCCTCGGAGGGCACCCAGCCTCCCCTGACGAGCCAGGCGGCTGCCTCGGCCCCGGCCCCGCGGAGCAGGGGCTCGCTCAAGGTCACGTGGGCTCGCTGGGCGTCCCCTGGTCCCACGCAGCCCCTCCGCGCACCGCCACCCACTGGTGAGGAAGGCCTCCCGCACCCCTCACTCCCCCTTTCCTTGCTTGTCCCAAACCCAGGGGCGTTGGGAATAACTTGGAGAAAAGCCCAGGCCCCCAGAGCTCCAGGCCGGCCACACGCGCACCCAGACGCTGTTGTCAGAGGGAGGAATTACTGCTACTAACCTTAGGGTGGATTCCACAGCCAGGTAAACAGGCTCAGAGAGGTGGAGTGACTTCCCCAAGACCACACAGCAAAGAAGAACACGTAAGAACCTGGTTACCCCACCCCACAGCCTGACCCAGTGCCTGGCGCAGAGTAGGCCTTCACAGTGGCCGCCTCTGCCCTGCCGTGGGTCACACAGGAGCACAGCCAGGCTAAAGCCGGGGTCTTGGCCTAGAGACTACTGACTAACACAGTAGGAGAGGACAGATTAGTTCCCCTTTCCCTAACCCAATGTTCATTTCACTTTAGAAAATATGAAACCCCTTTAAGCTTCAGGGTCATCCGTTCATTCATTCATTCATTCAACAAATATGTATTGAGCACCTACTGTGTGCTGGTGGGTGCATTGTTTAGGCACTGAGGATACAGCAGTGAACAAGACAAGTGCTGCCCTCCAGGAGTATACTCCAGAGAGTGGAATAGAACAGAGCCCTTCAGTGGGGTAGGGGTGAGGGGCGTGGGCTGGGCAGAGAGGAGAGACCTCTGGAATCTTCCCACCCTGTGAAGTATGTAAAGAGGGCAAAGAAAGACTGAATCTCAAAGCCTCCAGCCCACTGAGCCTTTGGCCCTTGCTTGTTGGAGAATCTCTGCCAGCCTGAGCTTTCACCCCACTCCCCAGGGATTGGGGAGCTGGGGGGCTAGATGGGTAGGGAGTGGTCTAAAGCAAGTCCTAACCTAACCTCAGAGCCTGGAAGCCTGGTCCTGCCACTTCCTAGCTGTGTGATCTTGTCACTCCACCCCTCTGGGCCTCTGCTTTCTTGTACAGCGGAGGTCATAATACTTCGTAGAGTTGATGATGCTATTTCAAAATGCTTCATAAATGGTAACGCACAATCCACAGTGTGGCCAGTGTCAGGCCCTGTCAAATCAGGTGGAAGCCAGGGTGTGTTTCTTTCGAGGCTCTAGGAACCCTGCTGATAACCTGTTACTGCTCTCAGTGCAGAAATGTGAGAGGCAGCAGTGGGGTGGCTGAGTTCCAGGCTAGGAGACTGAGGCTCCCTGCCCGGCCCCAGAAACAGAACGTTCATGCCACGGTCAGCGGGTCAGTGTTTACAACCCTGGCAGCCAGTCACCTGCGCAGCGTCAGACAGGTGTGGGCTCAGGCCCTAGCTCTGTGGCTTCCTCACCGAGTCCTCTTGGACAGTGTCTTCATTTGTAAAACATCTGTCTCCAGGTTGTCATGAGGAGGAAAGGAGCTGAAGCCACAAAGAGCCTTGTGCAGTGTCTGCCACTCTGGGAACTCTTTTGCTTTTTAGGCCTAAGGCCAGGAGCGGTCGGAGGGGTCACAGCCGATGGGCACAGTTACTGTAGCTCAGCATGTGAAGCCGATCAAGGTCAGAGCCTGCAGAATTTCCCATCAGCCTAAAACCAGCTCTCCCTGCCCTGGTTCCACCAGGCAGTAGTTAGATCAGCCAGCTGGGCCTGTACCTGTGGGACCCAGGAGACTGCTGTGTGTTATAAAGTGGGGCCACAGATGAGCTGGGGGCCCCCCCGCTGCCTTGGATGTGTTACAGCTGGCGGAAGGAGGCTGGAGCACGCCCAACCCACTTTCCACTTAGCTACCCTTCACCGGGCAGCCAGACTGATCTGATTGTACCACCCTCTGTATAAAATCCTGCTGTGGCTTCATATTTCTTAGGGTAAAAAACAAAAGTCTTAACATGGACCACAAGGCCCTACATAGTCTGGGCCCCACCTACGCTGGGCCTACTCCTCCAGCCTGTCTCAGACCGCTTTATCAATAGCCCTCTGTGCTTGAGGCTCACTGCTCCCTCCCTCCCCAGAGCCTTTGCCCATGCTCTAGACCACTCCTCCTCCCTCCTCTCACTTTTCCTAGGTTAACACCTCCTCACCCTTCAGATCTGAGCCCAAACTAGACAAGCCCAGGCCACAAGACCTCCCAGGTATGTCCGTGGGAGGTTTAGCTCGGGTGGATTTATACACGCATCACTGGGAGTAATTTCTGCCTGTACCCTGTACACCACCTGGACCGTAACCCCCAGGCCTTCTGGAGCTGGTCCAAGTTCACTTAAAGGGGTGTTCAGTAATGAAATCTACATTTGGGAGTAGCTCCTGAACAAATATAGGGACCTGGCTTTATATGAAACTGTATTGTCCATAAAAAAAATAATGCTGAAGTTATTTCTTAGTTGTGTGGGGGGTAGTTTATTGATTCTTTCTTTCACCTACTCTGCCAGGCACTATTCTAGGATACATCTGGGGACATGATACAAAAGCCACTGTCCTCATGGAGCTTTCCCTGGTGAGGGAGACAGACCACCAACAACCCTGTAATCCATCATCAGGTGGTGGCAAATGCCATAAAGAAAAATTGGCCAGCGTCTGGTGGGAGGGGCAGTGGCGGTGGCTGCTGTTTTAGACCCACGTGAATACCGAGGGAGCTCTGCTGGGGCGTCGGGGAAGCACTGATGTCCCAGCATCATCCACTCCCAGCCTGACCCTCCTAGTCACAGGGACAGGCACAGAAGCAACCAGTAGTTAAACCCGAGAGGAGGTGGGGTGGCCCAGACGAAGCCTGGGTGGGGGCTTCAGAGGTGGCAGGCCCCACTTTAGCTGGACAAATCCACGAAGGCTCGTGGCAGTCCCTAAGCCCCTTTAGTCAAGTGAGGAAGAACCTGGGTTTGAAGTCACACCTGGGGCATACATCCTGGTACAGCCAATTGCCAGCTGTGTGGCCTTCATCTCTATGAGCCTCCGTTTTCTCATCTGTAAAGGGGATAATGGGAGTCTTTTCCTCATAAGGTTGCTGTGAGGCTGAAGTGGGATCATGAGAGTAAGCCCATAGGAAATCACTGATTTTATTGGTAAACTGTGCTGTTGAAAACAGGCACCATTTGGACATGAGGACCCACATGGGAAAAAAACAGCACTAGCTGAACTGAGGCCCACAGTGGGAAACCCAGCATGGGCTGAAAGCAGTGGATGGTTCCATTGGGCTGACCACTGGCTGGAAGAAGGGGAGTTGAGGAAAACAAGGGTGAAAAGGCAGGTTAGGCCCATCCCGGAGATGCTTGAGGCTGATTGAAAAATGAGATGTAGCCTGTGGCCAGATGGGAGCTAGAGAGATGCGTCTAATTTGGTGGTTTTCAAATTATGTTTAAAATCTTCCTGGCCACTTCAGGGTATAAACTAGACCAAAGGGAAGCAGTGTAGCGTCATAGTTAAGATGACTGCCTTAGGGCTAAGACCCAGGCACAAGTTTAAATTCCACATTACTTGTCCCGCAACCTTGACCTTCATTTCTCAGGGCCTGTCTGTCTCCATCTGTAAAATGGAGATGATAGCACCTATGTTGTAAGATTACTGGGAGAAAATGAGATGATATGTGGAAAGAAGGGGCACGTGACTAACATTTACCAAGCATTTGCTGTTATGATTTTTCATTTTAAAAATGTAATTGTGAATAAAATACCCATAGGGTAACACTCACTATCTTAACTGCTTTTAAGTGGACAATTCAGTAGTGCTAGGTATACTCACATTGCTGTGCAACCAATCTTCAGACCTTTCAACTTACAAATCTGAAACTCCATACCCATTAAACAACAACTCCCCATCCCCCCCAGCCCGTGGTAACCACCATCCTATTTCCCGTCTCTATGATTTTGACTAAGTACCTCATATAAGTTGAATCAGAGTATTTGTCTTTTTGTGACTGGCTGATTCCACTTAGCATAATGTCCTCAAATTTTATTCATGTTGTAATATGTCAGAATTCCCTTCCTTTTTCAAGGCTGAGTAACAGCCCGTTATATATATATATATATAGCGCATTTTGTTTATCCATTCACCCATCCATTGGTGGGCACTTGGGTTGCTTCCACCTTTCAGCTATTGCTAATAATGCTGTTGTGAACATGGGTGTTCTCAAAAATATCTTTTTGAGACCCCGCTGTCAATTTTCTGAGGAGTGGTGTTGCTGGATCGTTTATGGTTATAATTTGAAGGTATGGTATTGAGGGCTCCCCACTGTGTTTCCTCTTGCTCACCAGGGTAAGATAAGTCCCTGGAGGCCTGTGGAGCAGTTTGAAAACCAGCAGATCAAACGAACTATTACAGCCCGGCCATTTCTCCCCTTCCTTCCCAGGCAGATTGGCCTCTTCAATTATTTTTTTAATTATCCCAAGTGGAAACCACTATTCATCCAACAACTTTGTAAGTGCCTACTGTGCAGAGGCAGAGGGAGATAGACAGTAAGCCATAAACCTAAACAAGTAAATATTATAGTATGTCAGACAGCGATGTGTGGTCTGGACCAAGCAGAGGAGCCAGGTGAAAGAGCCTGGGAGGAGAGGCTGGGACAGGGTGGCCTCAGTGAGCTGTGAGATTTGAGCAAGGATCGGAGGGAAGCAAGGGAGTCGGCCTTGTGGTTACCTGGGGAAGACTATTCCCAGCAGAGGGAACAGCCAAGGCAAAGGTCTTGAGGCAAAGGCCTGGTGGGATCCAGGATGGTGTGGCTGGAGCAGGATGAGTGAAGGGGACAGGAGGAGGGCAGATTGCACGTGGCCCAGTCCCCATGGTAAGGACTGTGACTGCGGGTGAGGAGGGAGTCGTCGGAGATTTGGAGCAGGGAAGGGACGTGATCTGACTTCAGTTTAGAATGGAGCTGTCTGGGTGCTGTGTGGTGGGTAGCTGGGGGCAAGGGCGGAAAGGGGTGGGAGACCGGTGAGAAGGCTCCTGCCGGAGATGATGGCAGCTTGTCCTAGGGGGTGGGTCAGGGAGGGAGGCACAATGATAAATGCGGACACAGTCATAGAGCCTGGGTACCCACCCTGATGGCACCCTCTCGCCGCAGCATCCCGCCCATCCTCCAGACTGCTGAAGTGGAATGGGATAGACAGTAAGCCATAAACCTAAACAAGTAAATAATATAGTATGTCAGACAGCGATGTGTGGTGGAATGGGAACTTTTCATGCCAACATCCCTTTTTTCTTCTGGTCTGTAGTGGGATTGTCCAAAACCCTCTGGGCTCTTCTCTGTTGGAACTGTTGCCATGGAGACCACTGAGATGCTGCATTTACCACCGGCTTCCAACTTAACTTCCAGATAGAGGTATAGAATGAACGGGTTTCTCTCCCAAATTGCTGGAGCGGGGAAGGGGGGAGTAAACTGGGCCTGCCTAGAATCCTCTCTTCTGGGACCATCTCACGATTGTGAGTGTGTGTGTGTGTGAACTTTGATCTACAGTCTTCAGAGTTTCTGGCCTAGAAACAGTGCTATGGCTCTATTTCTTAGAAAGGATTTCTTCAGCCAGATGCTTTTCTTTTTCCTGGCCCCAGAATAATTAGACAATTAGTTCCCAGCACTATTAGTTTGCAGCACTATAGCCATCTCTGTAGTAGAAACGCTCATTTTACTGTTCTGCAGACTCGTTAAAAATGCAGCTGGGACTTAACCAAGAAAGAGGGAAAGAGAAAGAGAACAGCACCTCATACACACACACACACACACACACACACAGAGGCACATCAAATTTGACCTTGGCCTTCACTGGCTGCTACAAGTGAAAAAACAAAAACAAACAGGCCGCCACTGGCTGGCATGTAAAAAAAAAAACAAAAGAAATTTATTCTTGCATGTGATCTTCTAAGGGCCCAGGTAAGGGGGTTTTAAGGGTGATTTCAAGGATTTTCTTTCTTTCTTTTTTTTTTTTTTTAAATATATCTTTATTGATTTCAGAGAGGAAGGGAGAGAGAGAGAAAGACAGAAACATCAATGATGAGAGAGTCATTGATCGGCTGCCTCCTGCACACCCCCGATTGAGGATCGAGCCTGCAACCCAGGCATGTGCCCTGACCAGGAATCAAACCCTGATCTCCTGGATCCTAGGTCGATGCTCAACCGCTGAGGCACGCCCAGCCAGGCTTAAAGGATTTTCAAGGACCGTATTTGTTGACCACATTTGGTTTCCTCCTCTGTGCTGACTTTGGAATTTTTCATCTCCCCGAGAAGAAACCCCACGTGTTGTTTATGGCATTAGTCAGCAAATACCAGTTGAGCACCTGCTGCAGGTGCTTGCAGACTGAGGATGGATGTTTGTGGAACGACTGTCTACCCCCGATACTGACAAATATAACAGCCAGTGTTTTCTTTGCTTACGGGTAATGTGACTGGTTAGACAAAAATCATAATCGTAGAGCATCCAAACAAGATCCTATACAGAGTAATCCCTGTCCATCCCACAGCTGGTCTCTGCAGTCTAGCTATGGATCAGTGTTCACCCTGCTCTTCTCACTATGTCTGTGTTGTTTCCCTGAGAGTCGGGGCTCTTCTGGGTCAAGTACAGGCCTTGGTGTCTTTACAGTGCCCACGCAGGGACAAGACCCCCAAGAGACCCCTGGGAGCTGGAAGCTACTCCCACCAAGGGGTGGAGGCCCCTGAGGACCAGTATACACAGTCCAGGTGGCACATTCCCTTACCCCACTGCTGCCACCACACTCCCATAACTGGAATGGTTTGGGTTCCAGCCCTTCCGACTGGATAGTTGGAACCATGGGCACCTCCATCTCACCATAACGGATGGCTGAAAATTCCTGTCTGTTATACCAACTTTTGTCCATGTTGTTAATAACAAGACCTGTTGGTCGAAGGAATGAGACTTAACTGTCACCTCAGCCCTGTGAGGCTTGGCTGGTCCGCACAGGGCCAGGACTTTCTGAGATAAAGCACCCTCCTTTCTAGGGATCAAGAACAGAATTGTCATTTTTAGTTAAAGTTATTTTTTTTCTATTATAAAAGTACCAATAAGCTCATAACAGAAAATGTTAAAAATGTAGAAAAATAGAAAGAATAAAAACCAGTTACTTCTAGTCCCACAGACCCCACCACTGAGAGACAATGATCATTAGCATTTTGATGTATTTCTTTGTGATCTCCTTGCTCTGTGAAACATTTTTTAAAAACAGAATTGGAATCCTATGGCATAACCAATGGCATGCTATTAACTACCTCTCTGGACAATAAAATCCCTCATTTGTAGCACTTGCCAATTTCTGTGGTGTAAATTCTCCCACTGTGGCTCATTTCAGGCCACCAGCATCACTGAAATACAGAGTTGGGAAGAAATGCATAGAGCCACTTCTCACCAACCAGTATAAGCCTGTAGCGGCACACAATATTATAATTTAAAATCATGTCTATTTTTTCTGATCTTAAAATTTGTGCATACTCATTAAAAATTCATGAAACAGAAATGTAAAGGAAAAAATTAAAATAATCCACAATCAACCCTTACCCCAGCTTAGTGATGTAAGTCCTAATGGTCCCTTCTCTATGGATAGAGACATAAACAAAGTAACTTTCTCCCAAGTTCAAAAGAAACACATATTTATGGCAGAAAGTTGGGGAATCCAGAAAAGTCTCTGGCATCTCACCTTTCAGAAAAAATTTTGGAAGATATTCTTCCGGCCATTTTTTTCTCTGCATCTTTTTAATCTGGTTGGACTCATAACTTGACTCTCTGAATTTGTAGGCTCCATAGGTCATGCTCCATAGAAGGTGAACATCCAGCAGAATGGTGTTATGACTGATAATTTATTTAAAACCTACAGAGTCTTAAAGAGGCAGAAATATTCTAGTTCTTTGGCATGGAAAGGGGCCACTAGGATGAGGTTCAGGTTATTTGAAGCTTTGGGAGACCCTGGGTTTGGGGCTCTGGGTGGGGGTGTCCCTGAGTAATCCAGACACTTGGCTCTTGTCCCATCTCTGTTCCTCATCTGATGCTCAATGGGAGGGGAAGAATAGGAGAGAAATAACCCGGACAGTCTAGCTTTTGCTTAAGCCCAAAAACTTGTTCATTCATTCATTCATTCATTCATTCACGTAACAGGCATTTTCTGAGCACTCAGTGTATGGCAGGTAAGGGTTAGGCATGAGAATGGAGATCTGGCACTTGCCCTCTACTGCCAGGCTAACCAAGGAGCTGGCACAGCAACCACAGCTCAGGACTTAGAACAGACAGTTCAAGCAAAGCCCAGGGCTTCCTGCTGCCCTACTGAGAAAGGCATCCCAGGTAGAGGGATCTGCGGGGCAAAGGCCCTGAGGAAAGTAGTAGCAAGGCTTCCTGAGCCCGGGTAACCCGATCCCTGTCTCCGGCCTCTAGATTCCACACCCAATGGACCACAGGCCTGTTTTTCTGGTTTGCACCTCCAGGGCAATTTGCATATTTCCCAGAAGAACCATCCAGAAGCTGACAGCCTCTTTTCAGACCTAGGGGGAGGCCATAGTTGTTTTTTGAAATCTGGGTAAGTATTATTTAAAGTTTCTTTTCCTTCAGACCCCTCATCATTGTTTAAAATGGTCTTGTGAATATTTTAAGTTTACACGTGTCTGTCTGCCCCACTAGAATATAGCTCCATGATGGAGGGTTGTTGTCCATTTGTCTTGGTCACCACTGTGTCCCCAGCATGTAGGACAGTGCCTGGCACACAAAAGGCGCCAATACGTGTTTATTAAATTAACTAACTGGTTAATTTGGGAAGGTGGTGAATTTTTATTTTTAGTTTACTTAGATCTTAAGAAAAGATCTTTCAAATCCTTATAGAGACATCCATTGCTTTTTTTTCTTCACTTTTTATTTTAAAATAATTATAGATTACAGGTAGTTGTAAAAATAGTACAGAGAGGTCCCACATACCGTCACAGCTCCCTGAGTGGCCGTGGCCCTACAATTAAGTCTGACTCCTCAGGCAGTGTGGCCCCTGGCGGCATCCCCTCCAACCTCACCTACCCCTCCTCGCCCACCCCTTGTCCAAACCCTGGCTGCACTGAGCATCTTTTTGGTTCTTAAAAAGCACCTTCTCTCTCCTCTCTCTGCCCAGAACATGTTCTTTCTCCCCACCCCAGCCCTGTCCGACATCGCCTTCTCCAGGAAGTCAACTCTGGGTTCCAGGCCCACTCTTTTTATCCCTCTGTGTTTCCTCCATCACAGCGTTTATTCTGCGGGTGTGTCATCATCTGTTTACTTGTCTATCTCTACCACTGTTGTGTTTCTTCTACTGGGACACCCTCCCACCCATCCACAGGGCCGTCCCCTTTACTTCCTGCAGCCTGTGCTGGCATGGCTCCTGTCCTCTGCATACCACAGCTACTTCCCTCCTACCATCACTTCATATCCCCCTCTCCCTGCCTGACTGTTCGCTTGATCACTTCCTGACCAAATGCTGACTATATTTTTTTAGTGGACTGTCCAGGGCATGGATCCTACAAGCAGACCACCCAAGTGCAAATCTTGGTTCTACCACTTACTAGCTCTGTGATCTTGGGCAAGTTACTTAAGTTATTATTATCATTTTGTATTGATGTATTATTGCCTGTGTCCCACCAGAACCTAAGCCCCTTGAGAGGAGGGAATTTGTCAGTTTTGTCCCCTGATCTGCCCCAAGGCCCAAGGACATCATACATCATGTACCTGTCTTCATTCATCCAGCAAGTAGTTACTCAATGCCTACAATGTCCAGGGCCTGCTCAGAAAGCTGGGGCACGGGCCTGCCTTAAGAAGCTTATACTCATTCTATTTGGATACATAAGTAAATGGATAATTTAAAATATGTTCCCTAAGGTAGGACTAAGTATTGTAAAAATGGACAGGATGCTGGGACAGAGGGGCGGAAGTACTTTAGCCTGGTGTCATTCAGGCTAAGGCCAGAGTGATGTCAAGGTCAGGGGAGGAGTATCCCAGGCAGGGAGAATGGCAAATGCAAAGGCCTGGAAGGAGAACAGCATGGGTGTTTGAAGGGCAGGAAGACAGCCAGTGTGGCTACAGTGCAGTGAGCAAGTTGGGTGTGGGGGGCTTGGCTTGGTTTGTTCCCTCCCCTCTCGTTCTCTCCCCTCCCTCCCCTTCCTCCCCTTCTCCCCCTGGGAAGGAAGGAAAGAATAAAGGGAGAGAGAAAGAGGGAAGGGGACCTCCCTCCCTCTCTCCTTTTTTCCCTTTCTTCTTTCCTTCCTTTCATTGAAGTATAACATACACAGAGTGCACAACTCTTAATGATACAGCTGAATCAATTTTTAAATATATGTAAACCCATGTAATTACCATGTGGGTCAAGATACAGACCAGTTCCATCACCAAAGCTTCCCTGTGCCCCATCTGAGTCCATAGTTCCTCCCACGGGTAACCTCTCTTCTGACTGCTATCCCCGTAGGTTGGTTTGACCTGCTCTTCGAGTTCTTAGGAACATAACCCTGCAGAATGCATTCTCATGAACGGCTGCTGCTTGTCGTTTTGTCTGTGAGGTTCACTCGCGTGGTGGTGGTAGCCAGACTTCCTTCTTCTTCATTGCTGTGTAATATTCCATGGTACGCCTATGGTGCAGTATATCCATTCCACTGCGAGTGAGCCTGTGGGCTGTTTGCAGCTTGCGACTACTGTGAATGAAGCGTCTAGGAGCATGCATGTACATGTCCTTCAGTGGACATAAACCCTCATTTCTCAGGAGTGGAGTTGCTGGACATAGGGAAGACATATTATTTAGCTTTAATGGATGATGTCGGATCATTTTCCAAATGGTGGTTTACACTCCTGCCAGCAGCGTATAAAAGTTCCATTTGCTCCTTGTTGTCACCAGCACTTGGCATTGTGAGTCTTTTTAGTTTTAACCATGCTGACAGGTGAATGGTAGTATCTCATTGGGTTTTAATTTCCATTCCCCTGACAACTAATTCATACTCCCCCCAGGAGTGTATGGAAGTTCTAATTGTCCCTTATCTTCAGCAGCACTTGGTATTGTCAGTCTTTTATTTTAGCCATTCTAATGGGTGAGTAGCAGTATCTCATTGGGGCTGGGATTTCTATTTTGCTGATGAATAAAGATGTTGAACACCTTTGCATGTGCTTATTGGCCATTGGATATTGTTTAGAAAGCACTTATTATGCCTATATTTAAATTTGCCTCCTTTCTTTTTGCTAATGACTTATAGGAGTTGTTTATATACTATGGATACAAGTCCTTTGTTGATATACATATTGAATATCTCCTACTAGTGTTTGGTATGTGTTTTTACTCTCTTAAAGATGATGAATAAAGTTCTTAATTTTAATGAAAGCTAATTTATCATTCTTTTCTGTCGTGGTTGATAATTTTTGTGTCCCATTTAAGTAAACTCTGCCTGCCCCCTGGATGCATTTCTCACTGGGATTTTTTTCCTACAGGACTGGAAATGGCCACAAGGGACAGATCAAGCCGCAGGCTGCATCAGGAGGCTGAGCCAGCCATGGAGGGGGACCCACCTCTGCCCACGGGTCGGGAGTTGTCCGAGGCCAACCGCTTTGCCTATGCTGCCCTCTGTGGCATGTCCCTGTGCCAGCTATTTCCAGAACCTGAGCAAAGGTGAGTGCTTTTGTCTCATAGAGGGAAGGTCGTGCTTCCTCGGGGAGACCATTGTTGACAGCCCAAGCTGCCTGCCAAGTGCTGTGGGGCCCTACAAAAAGGAGGAAGGCATTGTCCTTGCCTTTAAGGAGCTCACAGCCTGGTGGGGGAATATGGCATCTCACTCTGCATTCACTCACTCATACCTTCACCAAGCATTTTCTGAACACCTACTGTGTGCCAGGCTCCACGGGAAGTACACAGAAGGTACACATGAATAAGATGAACAAGGCAGACAGTATCCGCCCTCAGATAGGACACAGGCCAATAGGGGGATAAGATACTTATTCATTCATGTGACATGCACTTATTGAACTCCTACTATGTGCTGGGCGTACTGCAGTTCTCTTGGCCTTCCCCTCCTGATCGCAGCATGGCTGCTGCTGCTCCACCCATCATATGCTCACAGGAAAAGGCCCAAGGCACAAAGGAGGAGGGCAGGGATTCCCCTCAAGTCTCTCTCTCATCAGGGAGGAAATCTTCCCAGAATATGCCAAGAAGGCTTCCCCTTTTGGCTAGATCCAGTCACTTGCCCAACCGAGCCTCACCTGCAAGGGAGGCTGGGGAAAAATCAAGGCACTTGCCATTTTTAATTTCCATCATGAGAGGTGGCTTCTGCTGGCCAGGAGGAGTGGGCTGGGGAATTACTACTGCAGAGAAACAGCATCCATCGAGGGGGTTCGCAAGGAGGGACTGTGTCGATGGCCCTGCAGAGTCTGGCACAGAGACTGCCCAACAAATATTGGATATTCTCATTGTTAATAATAAAATCACAGGCTCTGTCTGGAGGTTAGACAATATCTCATGGGATATCCTGTTCCCAAGCAAGCCGGAGTCCTGTCTCATTAACAATGAGAATATCCAATATTTGTTGGGCGGTCGCTGTGCCAGACTCTGCAGGGCCATCGACACAAGGGTCCGGCTCGCTCCCTGCTCCAGCCTGTGTCATACTTGGGAAGCCTCCATCTTTCCAGAAGCTTCCCATGACCTGATAAACCCCTACCGGATAAGCTGATACACAGGTGGGGAAGAGTTTTGTGTACTTTGTTCACATAAATATTTATGAACCTGGACAGTGTGCCAGGCCTGCACTGGGCACCACCTAGGAGGGCACACAGGCAAGTAGGTTATTGTCCTGTGCTCCCCACCCCCATGTGCTCTAAGCATACAACTGCTCAGGAAGCATTTGCCTTGGGGCATTCCTTCCTGAGAGTTTGGGATTCCATATGCCAGCTCTTTCCACCTGGCTGATCTTGGTTTTCCTGGGCCCAAAACACATTTTAAAGATAGCCTCAATCCTTTTACAGCCCGGATACACTGTTGGTTTCAATAATCTTAAGAAAAAACGCTGTGGCCGTTTTTGTCCACATGAACATCAAAGCAAGGCGTTAAAATACTTATTTCTTACCCATGCTGTAAACGTCACAGACGCCGTTTCCTACGATTAACTCTGTGTATTAAACACAGAGATATGAGTAGGTAGAGCGGGGTTGGCAAACATTTTCTGTAGAGGATATTTTCGTTTGCGGGCCATGTGATCTCTGCCCCAGTCCCTTGGCTTTGCTGTTGTAGCCTAAAAGCAGCCCAAGACAGTCTGTAAAGGAATGGATGTGACTGTTCCAATAAAACTTAATCTGCAAGAGCTGGCTGCTGGCCAGATGTGGCCGCCTGGGTGGTCTTTGGGCCCCTGGTGAATAGGAGGAGCTCCCCCGCACAAGCTCCAAGTGCAGCTCTGCCCTTCCCATCAGTGGGACCCTGATAAGGCATTTAATCTCTGAGGTCCCTGGTCCCCGGGCTCCTCCTACAAGGTGCGGTGGGGATGAAAGGGAATGTGTGACACACCTGCTTAGCCAGCATTGGGCACATGGAGTGCCAGGGCTGTAACCTCGGGAGGGGGGCATCCTCTGCAGTGGGTGACAGACAGTTGTGGCCTTGAACCCTGGAGGTGTCACATAACCCCTCCGGGTCTAGGTGCCCTTATATCTAGAATAGGGGGTAAAAGTAGTACCTCCCCCCTTCATGGGGATGTGATTAGGAGTAAACAGGAAGCAAACAGCACTTAGCACAGGGACTGAGGGACATTTGCTCTGTGATTGTCATTGGTTGTCATTTTGCTGTTGATTTTCATGTATCTGGACAAGACCATCAACCACTTTAGAAACAGTTCCCGAGGCCCTGCCATTCTAAAGTGCTGGCTGTTATTTGATAGATTGCTGACCTTGCACCTGTGGTTTATCAGCCTCTTTGCTCAAAGGTTTGGTGGGGGAAGAAGCTAAAATCCCTACCACCTGAAAGTGGGTTTTGGCTCCTCTGTATGCCATGGACCGCAGTCACCATGCTTTTTTGTGTGTTGGCTGTTGACATGTGTGAACGCGTCTAATCTAAACTCCCAGCGGCCTTGGGAGGCGCCGTCTGGAAGCTCTGGGCTCTGAGTCGTGTCTGTCTTTCAGCTCCTTCTGCACAGAGTTTGTGACGGGCCTGACAAAGTGGCTGGAGTTGTCCGAAGCCGTCTTGCCAACCATGACTGCTTTTGCCAGCGGCCTGGGAGGCGAAGGAGCTGACACGTTTGCTCAGATTCTAATGAAGGACCCCATCTTGAAGGACGACCCATTGGTGATCACTCAGGTACACCCCCCACCCGGGTGGTGGCTGCCGGGGAAACCAGAACAGATGATTGCCTCAGTCAGTCTGAAAATCGCTCCTAGTGGGGTGTGGTAGTTGAAAGAGAAAATATTATTTCATAGCTAACGATAAATGGTCATTAGTGAATATTTACTGTTGATCTAATTTATTACTTAAATAGTGCTTAGTATGTGCTAGTAGTGCCTTTACAAATTTTAACTCATTTAATTCCCAAAGCGACTTTATGAGGTTGGTAGTGTGAGCATTCCCATTTTGCAGATGAGAAAACTGAGGCACAGGGAGGTTAAGTAACTTGTTCAAGGTCATGCAGCCGGCAGGTGGCTGAGCCCAGATTTGAACCTTGGCACTCTGACTCCAGAGCCCCTGCTCCTGCATGCCAAGCTGTGGTGCCTTTTTCAGAAGCAGCAGCTTTGCTCTGTGCCCTTGGGCATGTCGCTCACCTGCTCTGTGTGTGGTTAAAGCAGGCAGCTTGTAGCGCGGGCTGTTGGTGGGTCACGTGAGCAGGTTTAAAACAGCCCTTCCTCTCCTTCACTTCACTCCCTGAAGTTCTCGCACATTTATTAATTTGCTTACTTGTTTATCTGGCTCCCCACTAGTTTAAGGCAGAGGTAGTGTCTGTCTTGTCCTCCCACTTAGTAAGAGTCAGTAAATATTTGTCAAATGAGCAGGCTGATTACATATCAACTTATTGCCAATTCCTGTGACTTTCCCATCCAGGACCTGCTGAGCTTCTCACTCAAGGATGGTGAGTTGATTTTCTAAGTTCTGTAAATTGCGGGCGCTCATCTTCACCCTCAGCTGGTAAAGCTGGTGACAGGTGTTGCCACCTGTGGCCTGGTTCCCTGTGGTCTTTTCGGTGCAAGGAAGGAAAGGGAACCCCACAGAGCCGGGGAGCCGGGGAGCATTTCACTCGTGCCAAGACTGTGTGGTACTTCTTGGTGGTTATTTCACTTACTCCTCGCAGTGCCCTGTGGTTTTACCTTCTAAGTAGCTCTTGAATCTGGCCCCTTCCCTGTCTCCACCCACCACCCTGGTCTGAGCCGCCATCAGCCCCCTCCCGGATGACAGCAGGGGACTCTTCACAGGGTCTTCCTGCCACCACTCTGGCCAGCAGTTTGTTCTTCACCCCGCAGCTCAAATGACCCTCCTGGCTCCATACCCACAACCACTCCGGCTGCACTCAGGAAAAAGACGCCCCTCCTGGTGGGCTGGCCCCTCCCCAGCTCATCTCTTCCAACGCACCCCTCCCCTCTCCCCACCCAGGCCTCCCTGAGTGCTCCCTGCTCCCGGCACCACAAGTCTTTGCCCGTGCGCCCCCCGCCCGGCTGGAGAGCGCCCTGCCTCTCTTGCCCAGGTGCTCTTTACCTCTCCCGCATCCCTCCACGCAGCCATCACTTCCCGGGGAAGGCCCTGGCACGCCTCGGGACCGTGTCAGCCAAGGGTGCGCTGAGCACCTGGCTGCCTGTTTCTTTGCCTGGTAACTGGCTTCCCCTGCAGACCGTAAGCTCCACGGGGCAGAACCACGCTCGGTTTTCTTCTCCACGTACTCCCAGCACCTGCACATAGTGAGCACTCAGCAAACATCTGTTGAATGAATTAATGAGATGGATCCTGATGTTCCGTTTTATGTATGAGGAAGTCGGCTCAGAGAGGTTAAGCAATTTACCCACAATTGCCCGGTAAGCGGCAGTACAGGATTTCACTACATTCATTTCCTCCGGCTGTTGTAACCAATTACCATAGATGGATGGCTTAAAACGACAGAAATTTATTCTCTCACAGTTCTGGACGTCAAAAGTCTGAAAGCAAGGTGTGGGCAGGGTCCTGCTCCCTCTGAAGGCTGTGGGCGAGAATCCTTCGTGCCTCTTTTAGCTGCTGGCAGCTCCTGGCGGTCCTTGGCTTGTGGCCACATCACTCCATTCTCTGCCTCCATCTTCCAGGGCTCTCGCCTCCTCCCTCTCCTCTCCTCTGCATGTCTCTTATAAGGACATTGTGCAGGGTGACTGCATATTGAGATCTTTAACTTAATTACACAAGCCCTCCCTCCCTTATCTGCAGTTTCGCTTTCCATGGTTTGCCTTACACGTGGTACACAGTTGGAAAATATTAAATGGGAAATTCCAGAAATAAACAATTCATAAGTTTTAAATTGCACGCCGTTCTGAGTAATGTGATGAAATCTTGAAGTCCTGCTCTGTCTGGCCTGAGATATGAATTATCCCTTTGTCCAGCGTATCTATGCCATATATGCCACCCTCCCATTAGTTACCTAATAGCCATCTCAGTTATCAAATCACTTAACAGAGAGAGAGAGAGAGACCACACTCACATAACTTTTACTATAGTATACTGTTATAATTGTTCTATTTTATTATTAGTTATTGTTAATCTCTTACTGTGCTTAATTTATAAATTAAACTGTAGCATAGGTGTATATGTAAAGGAAAAAGTGTGACATCTATGGAGTTCAGTGCTATCCACAGTTTGAAGCATGGGGGCCTTAGGACGGAGCAGAGAAGGTCAGTGTCATAGTTGGGCCACTCCCCACAAGCTCCATGAGGGCAGGCTCTTGTCTGGATTGTATATCGTCGTATCTCAGCATCTACACGCTGATGGGCACATGGTGGGCATTTAGTATTAGATGCATGGATGGATGTTGGGTGGATGATAGATGGATGAATGATGGATTCATGGATGATGATGGATGGATGATGGACGGATGACACATGGATGAATGATAGATGGATGATGGATTCATGGATGGATGATGGATGGATGGGTGGATGATGGATGGATGGATGGATGGATGGATGGATGGATGGATGGATGGATGGATGGATGGAATGGGTGGATGATGGATGGATGGGTGGATAATGGATGGATGGATGGATGGATGGATGGATGGATGGATGGATGGATGGATGGATGATGGATTCATGGATGGATGATAGATGGATGGATGATGGATGGATAGATGATGCATGGATAGATGATAGATGGATGGATGGGTGGGTGGATGAAGGATGGATGACCTTTCTTTACAGAACGAGCTTGCATGCTAGCAGGTGGTCTGTGTGAACTTGAAGGTTAAACTGTCCTCTGCTACAGAGACTGATGAGGTGGGGCACACAGCGGAGGAGGAGACTCTCTGTGCTGCTGGATTTCTCTCGGGTGTGAGACGAGGTGGTTAGTCATGAAATCAGCCCAGGAAATCAACATGAAAAGCTGCATTTCCCAGAACTTCCTGGAAGGTCGACCTTTCCCGACAGCATTGGGATCTGAGTCACAAAACGATGCCATTTGGGCAGCTGTGTGGAATTTTTTGCGTGTGTTAATCACTTTCTTCTCCCCATCCTGTAACAACCCACAGAGCTCTCTGCCCACGCGATTGAAACAATACAACTTTTGTGTATTGAAGATAAGCCTGAATCTGAGCTAACTCTAAACCGGGCCTTGCACCCTTGGCACTGTTGATGTTTGGGGACATCTGTCGTGGAGCCGTCCTGTGCATTGTAGGATATTTAGCTGCATCCCTGGCCTCTCGTCACTAGGTGCCAGAAGCACTTCCTGAGTTGTGACAACAACGAAATGTCTCCATACATTGTCACATGTCCTCTGGGGGCAGAAACAGCCCTGGTTGAGAACCAGTGCTCTAGGACCCAAAATTTGGCCATCTCAGGCGGGGCTTGTTTATTTGTAGTTGGTAATCCTTAGAAGTTATTCTCGTTGCCCGTCTAGGTCCCGTACATAGCTTGTGAAGTGTTGCTTAGCATGAGGTAGGTCCTGTTATCCCCGCTGGCAGAAGGAAATGAGGCTCGGTAGGTTAAGTAAGTAGCCCAGGACGGCATTTCAAAGTTTCAAAATGCCGTTTAAGGCAAAGTGTGCCTCCTGGTGAACTCTGCATCAGTGCCCGGGAAGCTTAGACTCAATAATTTTTGCCCTCTGTACTCTGAAGCCAAAGATAGCACCAGCTCGAGGCTGTGGGGCCCGCGGAGGTGCACGCTGCCTAGGACGGAGCAGTCTTGCCACAGACTTGGCTCTCCTTTCTCACCTGGGTTTATTACTGATCGCGAACCCTGCCTCCCTAATGAATCAGAAGGGGCTGAGGTACTGGCCTATGGTCGTGGTGAAATGCAAACATTGTCACCTGGTTGCTGGGTGCTCCATCAGCATCCTAGAGATCCATACAACTTGTTATCAGCATTAAAACTGACTGGTTCAGCCCTGGCCCGTGTCGGTCAGTGGTTAGAGCGTCAGCCTGCCCACCGAAGGGTCACGGTTCGATTCCTGGCCAAGGGCACGTACCTGGGTTGCAGGTTCATTCCTCGGCCCCTGGTGTGGCACATGCAGGAAGCAACCAATTGATGTGTCTCTCTCACATCAATGTTTTTCTCTCTCCCTCTCCCCCCTCCCTTCCACTCTATCTAAAAGCAATGGAAAAAATATCCTCAGGTGAGGGGTAAAAAAAACAACAAAACCTGGCTGGTTCATCCATTCAGCAAACAAGAGCTAAGCACCCATTGCATGTGCCAGGCCCTGTGCTGGGCCCTGGGAGCAATTCTAACCGTAGCTGATACTTACTGAGTGCCTCCTGTGTGCTAGCCCTCAGCTACGTGCTTTATACTAATTCTTTTAAACCCCTCAGCAACCCTGGCACGTCAGCTCCAAGTCCAGCAGCCTGGCCACCAAGGTCCTTGAAATGACCCTTACATGAGGCTGGCACACTAGGGCCCCATGCCTGAGAATACCTTGGGAGGACACCTGTGCACCTGGCAGCCTCTATCACTGCAGCCTTGACAAATGGTATACAAATTAGTGACTAATTATAATTGCCACCAATTAATTGCTATGGCCAAGGCTTGGTAAATGTCCACGGCTCGATTATCACCTGGGTACAATAGTCTATGATCCTGTGAGGGCGCAGCAAGCTCCTTTCTTTGGAGCTTTAATTGACGTAATGATCCCAAGACACAACATGCAATTGTCTGTTCCCTGGCACGTAGACAGTTCCACATCTAGGGAGGCAGCCAAGGGCAGCTAGGCAAATGCTGCCAGACCGCAGCTCACTCTGAGGACCCTGGTTCAAGGAAGGAGCTGGTTTATTTCACAGAAACTGAAACCTCAGACTTCGGGACTTGGGAGGCTGCATCATGTTGAAGGCTAGCCACTGCTACTTTAGTATAAAATTGTTGCCCAGTGCTGCAGACACCCAGCAGAGGAGACCAACTCTGTAACATTCATTGGGGCCAGTCATAGACTAGGAGTCCTCTCTTCAAAACTTTGTGCCATGACTCTGTATTTCCATTTTCCACCTGAGCGAGGAGAAGCCATTTGCCCGAGGTTAGACATACAAAGAGATTTCCTACCCCGATTTGTCAGCTCATTGGAACAGTCATTCTTTGTGCCAGGCGCTGTTTTAAGGACTGGGGATAGAGCAGTGAGAAAGGCTACCCTTGTAAAGTTTATATTTCAGAGGGAGAGACAAAGAAATAAATGACTATGATAGAGAGTGGTGAGTTTTATGAGAAATGAAATGCAGTGAGGACTGGAGACTAATGGGGGTGGTTGGAAGACCCTCTGAGTGGGAGATGTTGAACAGTGACTTGAATGAGGGAGAGGAGTCTCACATGAAGATCTGGGGAATGAGCCTTCCAGGTAGTGGAAATAGCAAGTGCTCCACGGAAGGAACATTCTAGAAGGGATGGTCAGGGAGTTGGCCAGGGGTCGACCTACCTATAGGTCATGGTAGGGTTTGGATTTGGTTCTAGTCATGACAGATTTCAGGTCTACATTATCTCCAAGGAAAGAAGAGAGCAGTGCCAGGAGCCCTGACTGGAGCCCCATCTCCAGGTGTGGAAATGTTTCTGGGGTTGGGGGGGAACCAAGGCGGGAGAGTTGGAACCATGGAGGGAGAGAGACCCAGAGGAAAACCAGGAGTGACAGTTCTCTTCCCCCAGACCAGAGGTTCTCAGACTTGGCCGTGCATGTTCAGAGATGGATTCCCGGGTCCCATCCCAGACCTACTGAGTCAGTCTCCTGGAGGTGGCACTCATTGGGTCCTCTTGTCCCCACCAGTTTGGAACCAGTTGAGAGATTTCAAAGGAGCGAGGGAGATGGAGCTCCAGTGTCAGCTGATGACGGGCGGCAGTTTGGCTGGTTGAATGTGCTGACTGTCCCACCCGAGGGAACCTAGCTGAGGACAGCTCACGCCTGGGGAGAAGAGAGACTCTCAGAGGGGACCCAGTTGTATAAGCCACACTCCTCCCCGGAGTAGCAGTGGGGGAGAGGAGGCAGGTTATAAATGCAGCAGTAGGACCGTTATTTACTAAATATTTTCTGCATTTAGGGTGGTTTTCTAAAGATTTGAACTTTCAACACGAGTTCCTGGGCCAAAGGGGATGTACATCTTTTCCCCACTTTTTAAAATTGTGCTAAAATACATATAACATAAAGTTTAGCATCTTCCCCGTTTTTAAGTGCACAGGTCAGTGGCATTAGGTACATTCACACTGTTGTGAGCCATCTCCAGCCATCCCGCCTTCCCATACCCCCTGGTAGCCACCATCCTACTTTCTGGTCCTGTGATTTGGCAGGCCGGGGGGATGTGCGTTTTTAAGGTTTTTGATATGAATATCGTCAGAATGCCATCCAGAGAGTTTATATCAGTGCACACTGCCACCTGAGCACCATGTCCATTGCCTCCTCAACAGCTTTGGGATTAAAAAAAACCCTGATCTTTGCTAATTTGGTGAAAAAATACTACCTTGCTTTTGATTAATATTTGTAATAGTTGCACCTATTCTGAATAACTGACTGGTTCTCATGGGGTTGTGTGTTTAGGACATTTCCAGGGTGCGGGTTTTATCAGTTACTCGGCTGTTGCCATCTGTTTTTAAAGGCAAACTGACTCGCTGCCTGTGTTGTTTCTCTCTTTGGAGGGCGATACGATGCGCGGGCCCGAGTCCTGATTTGCCACATGACCGCCCTCCTGGGAGTACCCTTAGGGGAGCTGGATCTCCTTGAAGAGACGTTCCTGGAGAGCCTGAAGGAAACCAAAGAGGAGGAATCCGAGTAAGCGAGCCTGAGACCCCAGCCCATCTGCCAGGAATCGAGACCTACCACTGGGGTGCACTTTTCAGATGACAATCTCATCTGTCCCCTCCCTGCATTAAGAGACGGTGCACAGAGGGTCCCAGGGGCAGCCCAGACTCACTGTGTGGCTTTAGCAAGTCACTGCCCCTCTCTGGGCCTGAGTCCTCACTTCTAGGAAGAGGAGAGTGAATGGGTGATTGCTAAGGGCTTGTGACTTCAACATTCTGTGGCCCCAACACCCCACTTCCCATCAGGTTCTTGTCCATGGGCCGGAGTGGCCTGGGTTCAGATCCCACCTCTGACATCTATCCACTCCTTTGACCTTGGGCAACTACAATATCCTTATCTGTAAAATGGGAATAAGAAAGCGTCCTCCCAGGGTGGTTGTGAGAAAAGAACGTGACCGTGTTATAAGGTGCTCAGCCAGGGCTGGCGTGCAAGTGGTCCGTAGGTAGGAGTCCTTCCCTTCCCCTGGCCCCTGGGCCTCGCCGCCGTGGAGCAGGTTTGCTCTCTGTGCATCGTCGGGAGCGGGTAGAGGGAAATTATCCCGGCAACTTGGCCAAGGCTCAGCTGTTTGCTAAACACCTTACACCGCATCTGCTCCCAGCGCAATCAATCGATCCAGTCACAGCCTAATTGCGGGCTCCGCGCACCGGGCACGTCTCCCAGCCTTGGGTCTTGGTCGGCCGGCCACGGTGACTGTCTCTGAGCAGCCAGGTTGTGCCAGCTCAGCCCAGCTGGGAATTTAGTTCAGAACCGGAGCCGCCCTCCTGCCGGGGTTTGAAGGGCAAAGGGAAAGGTGTTTCCTTGGGGAAGGAGGAAGCTTAGTCTGTCGAAATAACCTGGAAACAGACTTGTTTTGACTCCCGGAGCCGTGTCAATACAGAAGCACCTAGACCCAGGTCTCAACACCATCACAAGGGCGGCCCAGATTCTGGGGATGTTTTAGATGTTTGTAGTATCTTATGCGCCTTGAAATGAAGGAGACTCTCAGCTATTGTTTGCAAAGCTTATTGTCAGAAAGAAACATTACTACCCAGAGGATTTATTCTGATAATACCAGTAGTCAGATCCTGGAGTATGTAGAAACAAGTTCTAACACGGCCCAGCTCTGCCACTTACCAGCCGTGTGACCTTGGACAAGTTAGTTCACCTCTCTGAGCCTCAGTTTCCTCATCTGCAAAATGGGGATAATGGTAGCATCCTGCTCACAGGGTTCCCATGGGGCTCAAATGAGCTCATACATGTAAAATGCTTCAAGCAGGTCTTGTACAGAGTAACTAGCTGGTAAATATCATTATTTGCTCTAGTATCTGTTATCATTGCTGTTATTACTATGTATGAGCCCCTTCCTCAGAAAAATACTCCACTTGTGGAATTTTTTAATTCAATGTTAGGGACTTGGGAGACCTCTCAGGTTCTATCTGTGGTCTCTGGAAGGATCGGAGACCCAGGAAAAGCATAGCGAGTGTTCAGCCTGGTTCTCAGTTTGATTCTGCTGCCAAGTCTCTGTGTGGCCCTGAACACGTTGCTTTCCCTCTCTGGGGAGCAGCACCCGTTTTTTCACCTATACAAGCAGAGGATCGAATTATGTGTAGGTTTCTTTTAACTCTAAGGTTTTCAGTTTCTGCAAGGTGAGCTTATCACTCGGTGCCCCAAGGCGATCCTTTGCAGCTGCGGTTCAGGGTGTGACATACCTCCTTTCTGTTCTTGGGTCCCCATCTGAGCCCTGAAGCCACCCAAGCTTCCCTCACTTGTTTGACAACTTCACTCCTCTGTGCCTCAGTTTCTTCACCTCTGACATGGGGATAGGGCTAGTATCTCCATCATTAGGCAGTTAAGAGGATTGAATTAATGAATACATATCAAAAGCTTGGAACAGTTCCCGGCACATAGTAGGTCTCAGTGAATGTTAGGTAAAGCCCTGCTAGGGGTTGACGCTGGAGGTTGACACTGGAGGTTGAAAGTTAGAACAACATTGTCAACATTTAACTTTTATCGAGCATCTACTAGATGTAGACACAAGATATCCCCTCATTGGGTGTTCATGACAGTCTCCTGAGGGATTCACAGAGGAAGAAACAGGAAGTCACAGGAGGGACCTGGCTCTCCCAAGGCCACCCAGCTGGTCAGAGTACCATCTGACTCAACCACCATATCCAGGCTGCGAACGTCACTGCCCGCATCCCTCAAGGCTTGGTTTACCAGTCCAGGTTCCCTCCTTAATTCTGGAGAAAGCTGTAAAGATAGTTCATTTATGGGGCTTTCTGAGCTTTTACTAGGAAAGTGTCTCTAGATGGCCCAGAGATAAGCCCTCCCTATCAACTGGAGAAGGTGACTAAAATAAAGAAGATGGTGCACTGGGGGTGATAGGGTAAGGAGCATCCTCCCAGGGAGATAAGACGGCAGGGAGGGAAACCGATTTGCTGACTAGCGACGTGGGCAGGGTGGCCTCTTGCTCTTTGCTAGGTGGCTGTGGCTTCAGCCTGCGATTGGGCCCAGATCTGCCTTTAGGCTCCTGCCTCTGTATTTGGAAGGCTGACATGGAAACCAACTCGGGCTCGTCTCTGGCGTTCCAGAGCATGACTGTGGCCAGTGAGCAGGGTGGCGCAGACTGCCATGGTATCCGACCAGCGGGCACAGTCAATGACAGGGACAGGGTGCCCTCTGAATTGGGATTCCTGCTCTGAACACTCACTTCCAAATACAGGACAGACACATGGTCGGTGTTACAGAGCGAATGTCTCCTCTTGTCTTTAGATGCTGACATTCAGACAATCAGTAATAGCAAGAATAAAAAGCTGTGATGATTAATGACTGGCAAGGCGCTTTGTTTTATGTACAAAACAGTTATTAAGATCGTTCAAATACTTACATAAATAAGGAAATAGATTGGCAGTTCAGGTGAACGTTGAGAGGGAGAACCTTGCTAAATAATTTAGGAAAAATATTGCATTCTTTTTGATTCAGCAAATGTTTATAAACATTTAAATGATAATACGAAGAAGAATACTAGAGATTAAAGTATGTGGTCCATCTAATCTTTGTAAAGTGGATTTGATACACTGGCATTCATACTTTGAAATTAAACAGCCTCAAGAACTATATTTAGCCCTGGCCGGTTTGGCTCAGTGGTTAGAGCATCTGCCCGAGGACTGAAGGGTCCTGGGTTCGATTCCAGCCAAGGGCACGCACCTCGGTTGCAGACTTGGCCCCAGTTGGTGCGTGAAAGGGAGGCAACCAGTCGATGTATCTCTCTCACATCGATGTTTCTCTCTCTCTCCCTTCCACCCTCACTGAAAAAGCAATGGAAAAAATATCCTCGGGTGAGGGGGAAAAAAAAAAAGAAGTGATGAGCAATAAAACAACACAAAAACTCATAGAAACAGAGACCAGGGGGATGGCTACCAGGAAGGAGGGGGTGAGGGCATAGGTGTGAAGGAGAAAGGGGTACAGTCAGTAATGTCGTCAGTCTGCGCAGTGACAGATGGTTACTAGAACTAGTGGGGTGATCACATGGTAAGCTATGAAAATGTCACATCACTCTGCGGTACACCTAAAACTACTATAACCAGTATCAGATTATATACCAACTATACTTGAGTTAAAAAATGATATATTTTTTTAAGTGACAAAAGGAGAGTCCCAAGGAGGCATGCAAGTCACGGAGGGCCTGAGCGTCATGCTAGAGAGGTGACACTATTCCCAGGGCAGAGGGAGGGGCGGGAGGGAGGGAGGAAGAAGGAGCTTGACCTCGGTCGCTGTGGTGATGCTATCATCACCCTTCCGTTGATACTCCCCAGGTGAGAAAACTGAGGCTCAGAAAAAGTGGGTGAGCCAGTGAGGTCTTGGCAGAACCGGGCTCAGATACCCCTGCCCCAAACTCCCAGGCTTTCCCAGGCACTGTTTGCTGAATGAGAGGATGCTGACTCACAGAGCCAGCTGCTTGGCCCCTCGTAGGTCCCTTGCATGTTCCCATTGTACATCCTCAGCAACTGAAACTTTTCCTCAGGCCTTGAACTCTGACCCAGGCCACTAGTTTGCAACCTTCCTGTTTGCATTGAGCAGTGCTAGCAATTAAGGGCCAAAGTATATCTCCTGCATTTAGGAGGAAATGATTGTAATAAGGAGAGCAATGATAATAGCAACAAACACATCAGACAGGTTCCAACATTCCAGTGTTGTATGTGGAGTATTGCCCGGAGCTCTCACAGTACCCCTGGAATTAAGTACAGCTATGATCCCTGCTTGTTGGATGAGGGAGCTCAGGCAGGACCGGTACTGTGTGCACAGTCACCAAGTTAGTATGTGACTCTACCCATCAGGATGGTCATTTGCTGCAGGAACAGATGACCTCCAAATCTCAGTGACGCACAGCCACACAGGTGCATTTCTCGTTCATATGACACATCCACTGCAGATTGGCTATGGCTTCAGTCCACGCTGTCTTGGTTCTGGTTCCCAGGCTGACAGAGTGACCTCTGTCTGGAACATTGCCTGTCTTAGAGCAGAGCAAAGGGAATCTTATCAGTCTCTTGCACTGACTCTTAAAGACTTCGCCGAAAGTGACACACACCCTTCCCATCTACTTTCCATTGGCTAAAGCAGGTCATGGGACCATTCGGTTCAGCAGGGCAGGATGTGGAATCTTTCCTGGGTAGGACCGGGGTTAGCCCAGAGGGCTACCTGAGGATTTGGCGGCTGGTGATACACGAGCACCCTGCGCTTATGGGCGTCCTGACCTCAGAACCCAGGCTGTCACGGGCCACCCTCCTGCCATGTTGCTAATGTGTGCAGTTCAGCCTTGTCCCACACCTCTGATGAATTTCAGTCGGGGAGCACCGGCACCTGTGATGGGCACGGAGCTTGTGATCCTCGCTTTGTGCTGCCCTGGAGTGAGGCATCCGAGAGGTGCTGTGCTGTACGCCCAGCAGCTGCTTAGGACAAAAGTTGGGCGAGGGGAGGGGAGCTGGCAGAACACCAAAAAGCATTAGCAGACCCCCGAATGCCCTGCTCAGATCCCATTTGTTTTTCATGACTGAGGATGGACTATTTCTCACCATCTTGCGCGGTTCGTGAGGAAAGAGATGGGAAGGAAGCAGGTATTGGTTCGGACTGCCGATCGTGGCACCCAGAAGGGCCCCCACGTAGTGCCCTCTGTCAAAGTGTGTTGATTGAATGGGTGAAGGAGGAATGAATTTGATCTTTACAAACCAGCTACCTTAAAAGAGAGATGTTATTGTCCCCGTTTTACAAAAGAGGAAACTGAGGCTCGGTCCCGCTCCTTATTGTCCCAAAGCACGGAGGACCGGGTGTCTGACAGGAAAGCAGGGCTGAGGGACGCGGCCGGGCACTCCCAGCGGCTGTTCTCAGGACTCACCTCGCCCCATTCACTCTAAATGCGCCCCTCCTGCTGCATCTTATCGCTGGTGCATTTCAAGTCTGAAGCATTCTGGCTCTTGCCCCATGGCCCAGGTCTCCAGGGCAGACATTTCTCTGACCCATCGTTGAAATGATTATTCTGAAGGAAGTTGCTTTCCAAATATCCCAGAGGGAGGCAAGCTCAGGATTGAGGGGAAGGGAAGGAAGGAGGGAGGTGAGGAGTCTGTGGTTCTATTTGGTACTCATCTGGGTCCATCTGTTAAAAGATATTTCTGTGCTCCTTTTACTATTATTGTCATGTTTTTGTCTTTTCATCATTCCAAATTGCAACCCTGTTAGGATGGATCCTTTGGGTAAGTAGCGCATCCCACACACTGGGATTCCCCAGCTGGGTTTTAGAATGTTTTCAGCTCATTAAAAGCATCGATGGGCCCAGGGTGACTTTGGGACCTTGCTCTGAATGACAGTACCCAGCACTGACCCCAGTTTGGGGGTTGGTGAGGCGGAGGGGTCTCAAGGGGTTCCAAGCACAGCCGACCCTAAGGACCCACCTCTTGTCCCCCAGAACGGCCGAGGCGTCCAGGAAGAAGAAAGAAAACCGGAGGAAATGGAAGCGCTATCTCCTGATAGGCCTGGCGACTGTGGGAGGCGGGACAGTGATCGGTAAGATCACTCAGGGAGAGATGGTGGCACATGGGTCAGTGCAGCCCAGAGTGACGGAGTGGAGAGGGTGGGAGATCGGCGGGCAGGTGTCCCCAGACACGGTGTGGGTGCTCTGTCACAGTCCTTTCATTAGGATTGTTGAAGCCTCCCTGGAAGGCAGTGGGCAGCGGATGGGAGAAAAGCCAGCAGGCCACGTCCTCACGCCCACCTTTCCCCTGCTTCCTGCTTTCTTTGCAGGGGTGACCGGGGGCCTAGCTGCCCCTCTTGTTGCCGCCGGGGCCGCAACAATCATTGGCAGTGCCGGAGCGGCGGCTCTGGGCTCGGTGGCAGGCATAGCTGTCATGACCTCGCTGTTTGGTGCAGCTGGAGCCAGCCTGACCGGTAAGGTTCAAGAGGAGTGTGGGCAGTGAGGGGTTTTCAGCCAGGGTGGCCCAACTCCTAAAGGACACACCCAGATTCTCTCCAGTGGTGGCTTCCCAGGAGGTGGAGGAGAAGCACGTGGCTTTCCTCATGCTGGGTCCCAGCCCTGCCAGAACTTGCAGTGGGCTTCAGAGAACTGGGCGACAGCTCAGCATGGGTCGGTGTAAGCGCTGAGTTTGAGAAACTGCACCCTGTGTAGACTTGCTGAGAAGGGTCTCATTGGACCTGCTTGTCACCATTTAGGAAGTTTCTAGACAGGCCTCCTCGGAGATACTTGGGCTTCCTTGTGTAAGAGAGCACATGGCTGCCCTTCATGTACCAGCATCTCTTGGGGGAGTTTTCCCAAATCACGTGTACCAGAAGCCCCCGGATTCCTGTTCCACTCCTCAAGTGGGGTGTTGGTTCCTATGTTGAGAATCTTGGTCAGTTTGATTCACTTTTACTAAAAGGGGTATGTTGTACCCGTGAAGTTTGTGGGCAGGAAAAATAACACAGAACCAACTGAGTCAGGACAGAGTGGTAGTTATGAGCCTGGGCTCTGAGTTCCGACTGCAGCTCTGCCACTCAGGGGCTGGCCAGCTTTTGGAAGCCTCTTACCCTCATCTATAATTGGGGACAATAATGGCACCTACCTTAATGAGCTGAAAAATGAGACATTTGTCCAAGGCAGGGCACATGGTCAGTGCTGTGTGAGCTGTGAGCACAGAGAGCCACTCTAACATTCCCTGGGGTCCCTGGTCACTTCCATTCTCATTTTTGCACCTGGGTCTTTAGGATACAAGATGAAGAAGCGTGTCGGGGCCATTGAGGAGTTCACATTTCTGCCTCTGACGGAAGGCAGGCAGCTGCACATCACCATCGCCATCACGGGATGGCTGGCGTCTGGCAAATACCGTGAGGACCAGAGTGGAGGGAATGTAAAGGGGGGGGTCGACATTGGCTGAGCTGCTCAAGGTGGTAGAGTAATGTGCCCAGCTCACCCATCTATTAATGAATGTAGGAGCTGGGACTCGAACCCCAGCCTGTAGACTCATGGATGGCGCAGTGCTCCATCTAGGTGCCCCTTGGCAGGGGTGGGCCTCTTGTCTCCCCCTGAGGGTGAGTGGTCCCCTGTCTGGAAAAGTGGGGTGGAGCATCCTCTAGCACAGACAGGAGAGACCCCACCTACCTATGTCCACCCCAGGCACCTTCAGCGCTCCCTGGGCTTCCCTGGCACGCAGCCGCGAGCAGTACTGCCTGGCCTGGGAAGCCAAGTACCTGATGGAACTCGGCAACGCCCTGGAGACCATCCTCAGTGGGCTTGCAAACATGGTGGCCCAGGAGGCCCTAAAGTACACAGTGTTGTCTGGTAAGTCCTGTCCCCACTGCCAGCAGCATGCCCACTGCTCCCAGCCCTCACGGGTACCATACCTCTGCATACCTGAGGCCCCCGGTGAGCCAGGCACTGTGCTGGACCCTAGGAACACAGAGAGGTTAAGACTGATTCCTGTCTGTAGGGTCTTTGAGGGGAGGAGACAGGTAAACTGCCAATCACATTATGTATCAGTTAGTTATTGCTGCATAAGAAGCCCCCCAAAACTCAGTGGCTTAAAATAACAATTATGTATCATAATAGCTCCGGAGTCATGAGGCTTCATTTGGCTAATCTCTGCTGAACCTGCTGTTGCATCTGTGGGTCAGCCCGCTGTCCATGGATCTAGGCAACCTTGTCTGGGGCAACCAGGGCAACTCGGCTCTGCTTAGTTTGTCTCTCCTCCTCATAGGGTCAGCAGGCTAGCTCATACCAGTAGTAGAGTACATGAGAGGCTGGCCTCCATGCACAAGTCCATTTGAATGAAGTCTCACATCTAGTAACATCCCATCAGCCAAAGAAAGTCACATGGCTGTGCCCACAATGGATGGGCAGGGCAGGGGCGGGGACACTGCAGAGTTACAGGGCTAAGTAGGAGGGTACCAGGCCGAGTGACAAATTGGGGCCATCTTTGGAATCTCACACATGACAGACACCTGAACAGAAGGGATCTAGTCCATGTGTCAGAAATGCATGCGCTTCAAGTTCTTCTTTGCTATTTAGAGTTTGCTGACACTAGAACTTATGGGTTCCAAGGTAGAGGCTCTGCATGTACTCACTCGGGCATCCAGTAGTCGGCCAACCACTCCCGACAAGAACCCCACTGCCTTCATCACTGACATTTCACCTCCCCAGGCATTGCGGCTGCCCTGACCTGGCCTGCTTCACTCCTCACTGTCGCCAACGTCATCGACAACCCCTGGGGTGTGTGCCTCCATCGATCAGCAGAGGTTGGCAAGCACCTGGCCCATGTCCTGCTCTCCCGGCAGCAGGTACCTGGGAATGGCTGTGGGTGAGGGCCCAGGAGGGAAATAGGGGAGCTGACTGCACAGACATCAGCCCTAAAGACATGTGCAAGGGCCACCCTCATCAGGGCCCATGTTTTGCTAGAACTGGCTGTGTCCCCTCCCAGACACCTGCGTGCTTTTTCCCCCAGGGCCGGCGACCTGTCACTTTGATTGGCTTCAGCCTGGGAGCCAGAGTCATCTACTTCTGCCTGCAAGAGATGGCTCAGGAGAAAGGTGAGTCTGGCTTGTTGTCACAGGGGGAAAAAACCCTCCCCAGGTTTACCCCCAGTTCAGAGGTTCGAGACCTGGAGTTGTGAGCCTGTATGTTCTCAGCTTTTAGAAATAACAGCTCACAGTCTGAAACAGCTTGAAAATAGACAAAATAGTTAAGTCACTTGGAAAATTTATTATTCTTTCTGTACATAAATTAGAGTGGGTGAGAGACAGTCCTATAGTAATGACATTGGCCTTGGTGTTCTGGTGCTTGTTCTTGGCTGGGAGGGAAAAGGGAGGGACAAAAAGTTCAAAATCTAGCTGTCTCCGGAGCCGCATTCCCTCTGAAGGTTCTCAGGGAGGGTCCTTCCTTGTCTCTTCCAGCTTGTGGGGGCTGCCAGCTTTCCTCGGCTTTTAGGTGCATCACTCTGACCTCTGCCTCAGCCTTCACCTTTCTGTCTCCTCTGCTAAGGACAGTGGCCTTGGATTTAGGGCCCACCAAATCCAGGATGATCTCGCCTCAGGATCCTTAACTAATTACATTTGCATTGTTTAATTATATCAGCAAAGACACCTCTTCCAAATGAGGTCTCGTTCACAGGTTCCAGGTGGGCATGCCTTTTGGGGGGGGCACCATTCAACCTGCTAACGGATACCTCTGGGATTGTGTCATGCCCTCCAGCGGCATCCTTTCTATGGAAAGCTTGAGTGCCACTGCTCCTGGCCTCAGTGGGTGAGGTCTCCAGGACAGGATGTTGGTTGGGGACAGATCTGTCAGTAGAGGCTGCTGTAGGAGGGGGTTGGGGACTGAGGTGAGAGCTTGGGGCACTTGGGAGTGGTCCACTGCTTGTGTGACCCAGCCTAACCTCTCTCCTGGTGAGGCTTAGCAGCAGGACCCTAAAGGCAAGAGAAGGGACTGAGACAGGGAGTCCTTGTCCTGAGAGCAGAAGGTGGTTGGGAGAGGGGCTGGAGCTGTACCCGGCAGTCTCCCTCGGGACGTCCTTGAATACCTCTCAGCCTGAGCTTCCCCACTGATAAAATAGAGCTAATAATTCCCATGCCACGTACTTGCCTTGAGGAGCAAGCCAGGTGCCCCATGTATGTATAGTACTTTTACAAATTGTAAAACCCATCCTTGACCAAATTCAGCTCAAGGACGCCAGTTTTCAGCATCAGCTCTTCAGAGTGTCTGCCAAACCTAAGGCTCTGCCTGAAGGTGGGCCCCTGGCCATTCTCCGTGGTCATCCCCAGCGTGCGATCTGATTGCTGACCAGTTGCCAGCAGGCCAGGAGGGGTGGGGACGTCCCCCGTTAGCTGGACCTGAGGCAGCCCGATGAGTCAGGGCTGGCTGGTGTTATTTTCAGTGTTGGCGTCACCAGAGGGCATGGGAGAGACCCTGGAGCTCAGGAAAATGATTCATTCCTGTTCTTTATCTTTTGCTAAAATGGACTGAGGATCAGAGCTGTTTTCTTGGTTACAAAGGCAAGGTGGACGTGCCATCCTGGCCATTCACTGTGGCGGGGCCAGCCTGTATGAATCCTGCGGTGGGCCTCACCCTCCCCTCTGTGCTGTTTTGGAGGCCCCCGAAGCCCCCTGTAGCTTTCAGCAGCCTCCTTTTCACCTGCATTGCCCACATCACTAAGCAATGGAGGGGCACCTCCGTCCTATTTCCAGTAGCTGTGGGTAACCCAGGACCACCTTGGAGGAGGGCCTGGGAAGCCAGCTCTGAGCTGTTTTCTGTAGGAAAATCCAGCCTGGGGTCAGAGGTCAGGCAGAAACCACTGAGAAGGCAAGGGCTGAACCTGGAGCTCTGGTAAAGGTGGGCTTCCACTCCTACACAGAGAGCACTGTGCCTTCCCTTTCTATATACACGCTTCCCCCTCCCCGGTATCAGCAGAGACAGAGCAAGTCCAAAAGGCATCCCTTACCTGCCTTTCCTGCCCTCCCTGCCACAGATAATCCACCTGGGACCTTATGGCCTGCTGGGAGGAACCCCCTGGGTACCCAGCAACATCTCCCCATCCCCAGCTCTTCATCCTTTCCAGTAAATGGCTTTGTTGAGCTACAGCAACACCATTGACGCACCTACTGCATACTGCCGTGTTCTGTGTTCCTGCAACTCTGTGCAACTGATAACGATACCGTCGGAATCTCTCTCGGGAAAAATAAGGGACTGTCACCCAGAGCCCAGTCTCTGCTATAAAAATACGTGGTTATAGAGAGGCAGGGTGGGTGTATGAGTCAGCTAGTGCTGCAGTGATGCCACATAACAAACCCCCAAACTCAGAGGGTTACAGTACCAGATATTTTCATGCCCAGGATCTACAGGTTGTCTCTGGTTCGGTTGCTCTAGAATAGCTTCTGTTTCTGGCTGTAAGTTGCATAGGGTTGGCCCCATGCTCTGGGCTGCTCTCGGATCTGCTCCACATGCATTTGTCCTAGTGAGGTTGAGGGGGCAGCAGCCACCAGGGCATGCTCCTCTTCTGGTCCATCGCTAGAGTGCCAGAGCCAAGCCAAACCACGCATGCACATTTAAGACCTCTGCTTATGTCGTATGTACTAACATTCTGAATCAGTTATTTATTACTGCGAACAACCGTTCCAGACATAGTGGCTCAAAACATCAATAACTGATTATTTGTCACAATTCTACGAACTGACTAGGAAGTTCCTCTCGTCTCACTTGTGCAGGTGCCAGCAGGGCTGGAATGCTTGGAACTTTCAAGGCGACCTCACCCACTGTCTGGCCGTTGGTGCTGGCAGTCGCCCAGGGTGCCTCAGTCCCTCCCCAGACCTCTCACCTTCCTGACTTCCTTGTGTGGTGTTCTCGGGGCAGACATGGCAAGATGTTTCAAGATGGCAAGAGTGTGCTTTGGCCGGGTTGGCTTAGTGGTTAGAGTGTCGGCCCCCCGACCAAAGGGTCGCAGGTTTGATTCCCAGTCGAGGGCGCCTGCGGAAGGCAACCAATTGATGTGTCTCTCAAGGGTGTGCATGGCAGGCAGCCAACTGATGTTCTCTCTCATGTCAGTGTTTTTCTCTTTCTTCCACTTTCTCTAAAAATCAATGGAAAAAATACCCTCGGGTGAGAAAAAATAGCAAGAGTGAAACCTGCAAGGCCTCTTAAGGCCAAGATTCCAGAATGCATCACCTCTGCCACGTCCTGTTAAAACAAGTCGCGGGCCTGACCTGATTCAACGGGGCAAAGAGAGAAGTAGATCCTCCTCTGGCAGGGAGAAGGGGCAAAGAATTTTTGGTGATTTTTAATCTTCCACGCATTCCGCTTGCCAACGCGAGCGATGCCTGGGCACTAGGTCAGTGGGCGGCGCGGGGAGTGAAGAGCTGCCGGGCAGTAATCGGGGCTCCGCCGGTAACCCTGACTCTCCTGCTGGGGGAAAGGAAAGCACGGGCTTTGCCCTCAGCTGAGACCTGGTTCTGAGTCCTGCCTCTGCTCAGCCGGGTGGCCTGGGTTAGGCAAGGACGCAGCCTCCCTGGACATCCATCCCTCCACCTGCAACAAGAGCTGGGCGTCACCTCTGGGCAGTGGCAAAGGCCGGAGAGCATGGAGGTCAGGCAGCCAGTCCAGTGCTGGGTCCTGGTCAACACATCCTCCAACAACCTGCAGGCTGAGGTCCCTGCAGGTCCAAGGGGTGGCCGCATACTCCCCTTGCTCTCTAAAGCCCCCCCCCAGGCTCTTGAAAAGTTGTCATTCTCTGTGCTGTCATCATTTTACTCCCTCCCTAGTCTTCGTTCCCCCAACCCATGCAGCCGACCATCTGCCAGGCTCCTCATTACCGAGAGCGATGTGATCTTATTAATAAGACCGATTCTCAATTTAGAGGAGAAAGGCATGTCTTTGGCTGCAATTAGCATAAATTACATGTTAACTTCAGATCGTTAATGCAAGCCAAATCCTCAGTTCCCCTACCGATCAAGTTGAATTAATTACCATTTTCCATTTGGCTGTGGCAATCGGAAGTGAGGCTGGAAACTGGCCAGAGGGAGGCAGGTGCCCTCTGGGTGGCAGGGCTGGTTTGTGAGACACTGAGGTGTCCCTGCAGCTCAGCCTTTTGGGGGATGGTTCCCAAGGCAGCTGCCTTCCTGCCTCTTTCCTGGTCGCTGCTCCCTCCCCCGGATCTTCGTGGCCCACTGAAAGGAATTGGGGCTTTGGTATTGGGTGGACCTGGATTTGGGTCCTGACTTTGTCACCGACTAACTTTGGACCTTGGGCATATTATTTAATCTCTCTCAGCCTCAGCTTCCTCTTCTGAAAATAGGGCTTAGAATATTTACCTCAAAGGCTCATCAGGAGATTAAAATGAGACGATCAGTATGAAAGTCCCTGCCCCGATTTGGGTACATTCAGTAAACATTTCTTCCTCTAAACTCTAGTCTGAGGACCTACTATGCACAGGGAACTCTGGGGAGTGTCATGTAAGTAGAGGGGCTTGTCATTTTGTGTCCACTTTCCAGCCCCCGTGTTAGACCATGAATTCTACGTAGGCAGGATCTGCCTGTGCCCCGCTCCCCATCTCCCCGATGCCTGGCACATTTTGAGTGCTCAGGAAGATGAAGGTACTTGACCTTGGTGAAGGCATCGAGCATGTGCTGATGTGCTCAGGAGTCAGGTTCAAATTCACCACATGCCAGGCTGTGTACTAAGCACCTCCATGCAGGATCTCGGTCAATCTCACAGCAACCCTAGGGGCTATTCTCCCGCTTCACGGGTAAGAAACTGTGGCCCTGGGGGTATCCTGAGTGCCAGAGCCAGGACTCGACTCCTGGGCGTCTGGCCCCAGAGCCCTCACTTCTAACCTCGAGCTCTACTCTGCAGAGGACCTGGACCTTGAACGGTGGGCCGGGTCATCCAGTGGACCCAGAGGAAGGGTGTTCGGAGGGTCGGGTCAGCAGGGCCAAGGAGGGCTTCTCCGGAGTGTCTGGGAGCATTAAGTCCAGTGTTTCTGCAGCTTATGAAAGGGGGCGGGGATGCAACAGTGGGAAATGGTCAGGACGGGAGCCTGGTA